GCAACGCATTGCAATTGCGGATGTCTATGGGCAGCGGTCGCTTCGCTATTTTGACGGATTTAGGTGGCCACTTGCTCATTTACCATCTTAATGTATATAAAAAGTAAACAAAGCTAACATGAATGGTTCACATTGCACAATCTCGTAACGTTATGATAAAGTTAATAAACTACTCGATCAAATCACCTCCGGTTAAGTTAATCGCTCAGTATTCTAGGGTTGCCACTTGTTACAATTAACAAAAAACATAATATTTGTAAAGGAATATGCCAGTAGATGGCAAACTTGAATGCGAACTATAAGCTGGCCAGTACCTGTCGTAGATCTAGTTATACGGTATTTGTTTTTGTTACAGCGACTGGCACACAAATACAACAGAGGCGGTACAATGATTTACACTGACTGGTCTCGTAAGCTATGAACATTTTACTGACAAACACATTGCCCAAATGCATGTAAACACGTCTATTCTCTTTCTTATTGCATTCATTTCCTTTAGATTAATTACTAGCTGTTGCTCGTGGCTTTGCATGCGTGAAATTAAAAATAATATCCTATGTTACTCACTGATAACGTAGCCTTTTAATGGTGAAAGAATGTTTGACATCGGTCCAGAAGTTTTTGAGTTATAAATACATACAAAAATATACATCTGTCCTCTTTATAATACTTTTATAAGCGTATTTATTGATCAATTAACTCGAATGCAGTAACAGCCCTAAGCGAGATGCGGTAACTAGTAAGAGGCGAGCAAGAAATTGGAAATACAAAACTGAGTGCAGTTACGTAAGAGTTGCATGTATTGTTTTACACTCGCTTGTTATGTTGGTACTTTGTATCGACAGTAATGGCAACCAAAAATCCTACAATAACCTGGGGAGGGCCCTTAGAGAATAAAATATATAAACTACTGAGATATACTACAATGACTTCAATTTCTACAAACCCACATATAATTCATAACTAGTTTATACAGGGTCAGTCTACAGCAGACCCCTCTCTCTCCCCTACTTCAATTTGCATTAACCGTGACAAGGAAGTTTTTACTAGTTTTAAGTAGCAAGGAATACACATTTATATGATAATTGTGTTTCGTGTATGGGCATGAAAATTACGTTGTTCTATGTACATATAATCGTTTAAAAAACCTATGACTGTTTATAGTGTAAAGCCGAACTAATAATATCTACTTATCTTACTAATATTTTAAATGCGAAAGTTTAGATGGATGGATGTTTGTCAGAGTCTGTAGCCTAAACGGGTGAACGGATTTCGATGAAATTTGGTACAGATATAGAAGATAGTCGGGAAGAACACATAGGCTACTCACTATTTTTTTAATTACACGTGGACAGTCGCGGGCAAAATCTAGTAAAATATAAATATACTCGTAAGCAAGAAGGAATTGAGTCATATTTACATCGATAGAAGCTGCGAAAATGTGTAAAGGAACTTGTAGCAATCCACTCCACGACTAATTAAAAATCCACGACATACATTGCTGGTTTAAAGCACATTAGTACCGTTGTATAATTAGCAAAGTACGCATTGTACTACGCGAATGGTAAGTTTGTGTTCCCGTGAATATAAAGCGATGTGAACGAACTGTTGCCTCAAGTGTTATGACCTAAGCGCAATTAAAATCTTTCTACACAGCGTGGTTCACCGCAGGAGTATTATTCTAAAAATAATGCAATTATGCTTTATATAAACTTTTATTATTAGCTTACTATTATCTGTTAACTATTATATTTATTAAAGGGGAAATGGATTGGCTCCTGCAGCACAGGGAAACCTAGTGCAGGAGCCAAGGCTCTCATGAAATGAATATATTTTATAATGCAATAATTTATTTATTTACATTAACACTTCACTTCCTTAATGTTAGCTTTTTAACTATTTCGATGTATTCTGTATTCTTGAAGGTTATTTAGTCTGTGCTATAAATCAATACCATTTGTCATAATTTGAAATAACGATATAAGCGTTATGTTAATAATCGGATAGTAGTCGGATGTCAAAAATAAGGGTGTTGCATTAGTTCGATGACACGACGGCCATATTGGTAAGGTTATTTTGTGCAAATTGGAAGAAAACACAAGAGGTAATGAAGACTATATATTATTAAAGCATAACATGGCTGTGAAACCCATATAAGCATTTCTAACAATCTGACAGACATCAAATATGTAATGGAATTTGGAGTTTTTTATTGAGTATTCGGCCAGGACTGTTTTTAATTTCATCTTGTTAGCAATCCTATAATAATTTCTATGTAATTTTTTAATCAGCATTGCTATTTAATAGTTTTTATAGATTTTAAAAATGTAAAGACCAAAATAAGGGACCCTTTATGTATTCTAGACTTCCAGTAATTAAGCATTTAAACCTGATGTCTAAATCCTGTCTACAAACTCGTGACTTACAAAAGTCAAAACACAAACCAGTCTCAAACAATCGCGCAACGCTTTCTTCAAACAAACAATATGTTCACGCCGTTTGCTGCGGAGTAGGCAGCTTTGTGTAGAAAGAGAAAACCCGGTGTGCAGTGCCCAGTAAGGTTTCTGAGTTTCTATTAGCAAATATAACCGGATATACGTGATTGATGATTGTAACTAAGATTAAAACATTATTATGAAACTTTATAATTCTTCATGAGGTCATACAACTGGGGTCGGAGCCTACCTTAAGTTATAAGTAACTAGGCCACAAACGCAAGCCCTTCTTAGAATTGTTCCGCCAATACGAGCAGCTTCGCGATGTTTTCCTTCACACTTAAAACGTCATATAAATGCCATATGAAATTAAAACTCAAAACCATATTGTACAGGGCAGAATTGTATTAGGATAGGGTCTAGTGGACCTGCATTACAAATCAAGCGCTTAACCTCTGACACACTTTCTCTGATTTATTTATACGTTTCTACAAAATTACGTTGATATTAAGTAAACCTCTACAATGAATCATGTTTTTCTTTAGATTGGTTAATTCTATAGCATGATACTGGCCACCTTAGATGAAAATAAATGGTTAAAAACTGTAGTTTAATTTTTTTTACTTTTGAATTACTCAAAAGCCTCACCGTTATTAGAATAAACAACCATTCTAAATCCCACGGTACCATAATAATTATCAGGGTCAATTAACACGTATGACGTATAAGTGCAAACTAACACGAGCATACAAAATGGCACCGGGAGCAATGGAATACAACGTCGTACTATGATATGTTTAACATGGGCTGACGCAGGGAGAGCAAGGGGGTAATTTCCTCTAAAGACAGTAATTTTAATGCATGTCTGCGACGCTCATGACTTCCACCACAATCAGTTCTCACCATAAAATTGACAACAATGCCTTTAAGGTTCTTGGGCCAACAACTTTAGCTTAGAGAATAACGTAGTCATGTCTTATGGAGTGTTAAATTTGCAGGATTTACTGGTTTTATTGAGGAAAAGTGTAATAATTTTCTATTTTAGAGCCATGAGCTGTTCGCGTTCTGAATAATTTTGCATTACAAAGTTATTATTTTGTATTTAATAATCAAAAACAGGAAATTGATCATTTTCTTTGAATTTTAACGTTTCCGATACTAGTAACGTTATTATCCACTAACTTTCGCCCGCGGCTGTCCGCGTGGAATTAAAATAAACGAAAGTCGTAGCCTATGTGTTCTTCCAGACTATCCTCTACATTTCTATCAAATTTCGTCGAAATCCGTTCAGCCGTTTAGTCTGGAAACTCTAACAAACATCTATCCATCCATCCATCGATCTAAACTTTCATATTTATAATATTAGTATGAAGTATGAATTTAGAAATGTTTCGACAATACGTAACAAGCAAAATAAAAACATCCTTATTCTATTTCCTAAACCATAAATAATGGAAGATGGAGTAACAGCCGTAAAGTTGTCTATGGAATCTAGAAGCATCATTGATGACAACTGTCGTATTACGCGGTCGTAAACTTCGTGACAGTCATAACTAATATGCTGTTAGTCCTCTAAACGTAGGTTTTTACTGCAGAAAAACGTGTGTATACACTATACCATTTATTGACAAAACTTATATTTTATTGGATTTTTTTTTATATCAGTATCAATAACACGTGTTTCAATAAAGTTGAATTTTAAGAACAATGAAAGGAACAAGTAAGATCTGACTTGTATAGTTTTACGTCGTGCTAATATTGTAGTAGAACCTCGATAACTCAAACCTCGGTAACTTAAAAACCTCTATAACTTCAAAAAATAATATGTTCCCTTCCCAACAGAGCCCAGAACCACTACAACATAGACCATTAATAACTTAAAACCTCTATTACTTAAAATATTTTGTGTTTCCCTTGGTCTTTAACTTATTGAGGTTCTACTGTACATATATGCGAAAGTTTAGGTGAATTAGATTTTACTACGATCTCCAGAAAGGTTCAATCCCGCAAGTCACGGTAGACATCTAGTAACTAACATTGGAAGAGTGAATAAAAGCGCGGTTACAGTTAACTGTGGACGTCTATTTATAGATGAACAGGTAAAGAAACTCATCTTTCCCGGAACTGTCTTAAATAGTTTATTTGTACATATTTGAAAGTAATTGTTAGTCATTCAGACAGAATCCCGCTCGTGACAACCGGAGAACGGACAACGGAGCTATGCAACAAGCCAACAAGGTCGTTTATTCACTCTCTATAACATAAATGCCTTAAGAATACTGATTCACACATTTACATATCAACTAAAAGGTCAAAATAAAGACTCGTATCAAAAGACTAGTTTGATTGAGTCACCTTAAAAATATTAATTCAATTTTTTTAATATTCTCACCAAAATTTTTAATCATGAATTTAAAATTTCCAACTAATAAAAAGTACATTGTTTTATTTTAATTATCTAACCTGTACGTAACAAGTTTTTTTATTTATTTAACCGGTTACAGTGTTATAAGTAATATTGTTTTAGAATAAATTAGAATAATTAAAACTATTGCAATCACTCACCGTGTAATGCGACCACTTAAAAATCACACATGGCTCGGCATCCGGATTCTGTGCTACAAAAACAGGCTTCTTGCATCTGTAGGTGTGTCTCAAAATTCTGACACCACTAAAGTTCACAAAGCAATACCGTTAACTTAGTTACTTCTATACATCACCACACAGTAATTATACCACTGAATACGGAACAACGCACTTCATTCACAAATTGTAATTACAAAGAACAAAGACGTTAAGTTAAAATTGGCACAAACTCTCGTTGACCGCGTAAAACTTTTTCGATTTTAACTTCACATAACCCGCCACCGTGGTATTGCAGTCGCAACTGACATGTTTACGTTTTGTTACATTCAATTGGTAACTGTTTATTCTTGTCATTCCTACAGGTATACACGTAAGATAGAAAAAGACAAAAATCCAAGACACCGATGTCAACCTTCTGAGAAAACTATTAGCGCACTCTAGTGATGAAAATTCAAATTACTTCACCTACTCAGAATGTAGCGCGTGCAAATATTTATGCTACTTGATCCTAGATGGCGCTAATTCAATTTTCATTCATCACAATTTTCAAATTATTGAAAAACTTTTATAATGTCTATTTTCTGTTACTTCTAGCATATCCACATGTGTGAGCATATTTAGGGTTTTCTTGTATATGAGTACGGTCAATTTATAAGGCTCGGTAAAGGCTTGAAGTATTTTTCGAATATCGAATGATAAATAATTTTATAGTAGGTTTGATAATACATAAAGAAAACTTCACATATTTTTTTTGAAGTTTTTATTATTCAAAGTATACAAATTGTGTTTTATATAACTTTTTGAATCTAAGCAACAATTACTTTGATTTTGTGCAGTTATCAAAATTGGCTTTAGTTAATTGAGCATATCAGTGTTTTTTTAAGCATTTTTGGTATTACAAAGATTACATTTAAATTAAAATATAAGAATTCATAGACCTAGCAATTCCTTTAAATATAAAAATTCCTAATTCGCTATAAAATTAAAACTAGAGTCTTCAAACTTTGATCATAATTTCTTCTAAAGATTTCCTCGCTATATCTGGAACGGTGGCTTCCGAGTGTGGTTTTCCCACCGGCAG